GAAATTTGAATATCAGACACTTAGGTGCAAGATTATGCCAAAATTCCATGTTTTCCGTCCCGTTTTTGCTCATTTCTCGGAGGCAAAATGAGCAAGAATGCTCGTTTGTACATCATTCTAGACAGAAATAAATGGCCTTTTTAGAAAGTGAACCATCGATAAGAAAATGTTGGCAATTTTTTCAAAAAATTCACGAAGTTTTAGATTTGCGTGGTTTTCTTTGAGTTGCAAAATCCACTTGAACATGACGCTGCTTTTTTCGAAGTTTCTCAAGAACCATTCGAGCCACAGAATTCGTTTTGGCATCGTTGGATAGAGAATTGAATTGGGGGGGGGTCATGACCCCCATGACCCCTCCTGGATTCGCCCTTGTCAAGCACCCCCATGATTCAGTAATGGGCCTTACTATAGTTTGGTACTAAATGCGTTTTGTATCTTCAGGACTTTGAGCAATGCGTCCTGTCTGGAGACCGGGAATGCAAATACTTGAAGGGAGAAGTGAGAGAAGGAATAGGAGACCATAGGAGACAGTCGATGTTCTTCTGCGGCCATCATGTTGACTGTTTGCCGTTCAACACCGACGGGGCCCTGGAAAGAGCGAAACGAGCTGTAGAAGAAAACTATGCGGTCGTCGGAGTGTTGGAGGAAATGAACACTACTTTGGCAGTGTTGGAACACTATGTTCCCCGGTTTTTCGAAGGAGCTTCCGATGTCTACTGGAGTAAGAATTTTTTTAGTGGCCCAAACAATGCGAAACAATGCGAAATTTCCAGATGAAATCAGCCGGTATAATCCGATAAACAAGAACAACTTCAAGCCGCCGGTGAGTGAAGAAGTCAAGGAACTAGTCAGGAAGAATTTCACCAGGGAAATTGAATTTTACGAGTTTTGCAAACAGAGGCTGCACAAACAGTATCTAGCTTTGAAACTGAAGAAACCTTAAGCAACTGCATTTTACAGTTTCTTGAAGTATTTGGCTCTGTGTGATTGTTCTAGGGCCAAAATAGAAGAGTAATTAAGGCTTGCTTCCGATATTATGCTTTAATTGGAAAATGTCCAGAAATCTAAAAATGTGGTTGAACATTTTTTCGCTTATGTCGAGTTCATCCGTCTTGTGATCAGTCTCCTCTGGAGGTGTAAATATGAATATTAGCCTTAAGTTATGATTAGCGTATTTTATATTGTTTTTGATAATAAAACGGCTGAATTAGTGTTTTTCTGTATTTTTTTAAATTAATATAAGTATTCAAAGATCTGCTTTTCGCAAGTGGGAGCAGAAACTAATCAAGCGACAGAAAAAGGACAAAAATCGTTATTTTTTATTTTCACTGTCTGAGCCTACCAATTATTTATTAGGCTTAAAACATTCACAATAGAAAAGAAGCAATAATGACCAAAAAAAGCGAGTATTACGTATTATTATCAAACTGTATTAAAATACAGTTTGAGCAATTATCCGAAGTAGTAAATAGTAGAAAAATTCCATATTTTTTGAAATTTTAGTGTAAAAAAAACTGATAATTTTAGTTTAAAACTTTCAAAATCAAGACACACAATTCCTTAGTGGTTTATCTAAAAAATCCGCTTCAAACTCTAATCAACCAACGAAGCAAACAAAAGCAATAAAAATATTTTAAGATAAAATTGAAGATTCAAAAACCGGCTACCGGACGGTGATAAAAACAACGTTGCCAAATTGCTGGATTTGTTGCACTTGTATACACATCTGACAAACATCACTGTCAAAGATCCTCAAATTTTAACGCTTATGAAAATTAAGTTTTTAGATCCTGTTTGTGTTATTTCGCGGCTCAATAGTAGGTTTAACGGAAATTTACTATTCAACCGAAAATTCGGAACCGCCTCTAGTGCTGTGACCACGAAAGCAGGTGTTATAATGTCGAACCCTCAAAGTCCCTCGAAACCGAGCAGTGATTTACCCTGTCCTGAAATAGTGGTGAAACTGACTCGTTTAAGTCCTAAAGACGACAAGAAGCATACAAGGGGTAAAACAGACCAGATTTCGACACATGTAAAAGCGAAAAAAATTAAATTCGACCCCCATACCCCAAAAGCCAGCGTGGAGCTTGCCCTGGAGCTAAAGCAGGTGATTAACGAAAGGAACATTCTGACTTCGAAGACGCGAAAAAGAGTGTTTGATTGTCTGGATGAAATCAAGTCCAATAGCGAAACAGAACGAAGGGACTTCAAACGGGAGAAGGCCCTTTTGGAGATTGTGAACAGTGAAATCAAATACGTAAAACAGCTGGAAACGATCATAGAATTTTTCATGGTGCCAGTGCAAGATAAAGTGCTGCTTAAGCAAGACGACTATGAGATTTTATTTGGCAATATCCGAACCATTTATAACATTAACAAGGAGCTGCTAGAGCAGCTAGACCAAGGATTCGACCATATTCCCCAGGCATTTAACAAAATTGCCCCATTTCTCAAACTCTATTCTGTATATGCCTATGGATTTAAAAACCAACTGAAAATATTACAGGTAAGGCAGATAAATTTTGAATTGAAAGTGAAACGTTTATATACTTGTAAAAAATGAGCCTAATTTGGTTTCAGCTCCTATTTTTCACGCGTAAACGGACTTAAGTTTCATAGTTTCTCAACTACTCTGTAGTGGGAGTAACCAAAACTCATTGTTTCCATTCAATTCGTTCAACGTTTAACATTTTAGAATGCCAGAAGTTGTAATCCGGCGTTTGCAAAATTCATCGAAAACCAAGAAACACGCCCGGAAGTACAGATCAAACTATCGGCCCTCTTAATAACTCCCATTCAAAGAGTGCCACGTTACAAGTTGCTCTTGAATCAACTGCTTGCACTCACCACTCCCGAAGATAAACACTTTGCGCTTTTAAAAGGTAACTTGAACATTTAATCGGTCTGCATCTTCAGCGAAAAAAGCTTTTGCAGATTGCATGCGAAAGATTGAAGATGCAGCGTCCCACATCAATAAAGTGATTGAAGAACAGGAAAACGCTCAAAGACTTTTGGAGTTGCAAAGATATTTGAGGAGCGGTGAACTAAACATAGTCACACCAGGTAGTTGCGTATTCAAGAAATGGCTCGAAAGCTCGTTTGCATGAAAGAACTTGAGCTCTCTTCCTGAATAAACTCGGGAAATATGAGAAATCTGTTAAATTCCAGGGAGAACGTTGAAGAAAGAAGGCATCCTGCATAAAATGTCCACAAAGCAAAACACGCACAGCGAGAAACTCTACGTGGTTCTAATGAGCGACATTATAATGTTCAATAAAATGAAGAAGGAACATTTGTCGATCGGCTCATTGAAAGTGACTTCCATATTTCCTCTCAACAAGTCGAAAGTGACCGAGGCAAGTATCAGCCTGATTTGTACAGCCAAACCTTCAATAGACATAATTTGCAATATATATGTTCCTTTGCAGATTCTAGATAAGGGATGTTTGAAGATCAGCTGCCAAGAGGAGGAGTTGATTCTATACCATGACCAGCTGAGTGAAACCACGGCCTGGATAAGCAGCATCAACCAGGCGATTCAATGCCACTTGGAGGACCGGTACTAGTAAAGTCCTCATTTGAGGATGTATTTATCGAGATGCTATTTCAGGAAGTCTTTGAGGAAAGAAAGCTCAAACAGGCGAGCAGTGAAGCGGAAAGACATCAATGAATATCACGAAGTAGGACTGAGTCCAGGGCATCCTCTGAAGAAAAGAAAACTGGTGAGAGTTTTTGCCCAGTTTAATTTAGCAAAACTAGTTCAGTTGACAGAAAGTGGAATTCTAGGCTCCCGATGAACCAGCCACGGTAACATCGAAGTTACCATTGAGAATCGCCGCAAGAAAGTCAATTCGTTCTGCATGCAATTCCACCCCCATAAAGCTGCAGAGTAATCCTGAAACTGCTCATGAAGACGCATCGTGCTTTCCTTCGATGGAAATCAGTCATTTTTCCATCGACAGCAACTGGAAAGTTAATACAGGTAGAAAAAGCATACGAAAGTTTTAGTCGTCAAAAGCTGACCGAAAGCCGATTTTAGAAAAACAGCAACTTGATACTTTGACGAATTCCGACACGACAATCACGGGTTGCCAGTACAGCGAATTGAAGCCAAGGAGGGATCTGTTTGTGTTTGGTCGCAAGGAGCAGGACCAAAACGTCAGTAAAATGGGAAGTTTTTTCAAAAGTGTCGGCTCGGGCATTAAAGGATTTTTCGGATTCAAGTCGTAAGCTAAGCTAGGCGTAAGTTTAATTTTAGAAATGTTTTTTAATTTATTGATTATGAGTTAGACTTAACACTATGTTAGGTTTAGGCAATGTGAGCAAAAATGGTTTTCAAAACCGCTTATGTAAAATCTCTAATTTTTTTCATGAATTCCTTAATCCTGTAATTATCCAGTGCGTTGCACCAGATGCCATTAGTTTTGAAATGAGATCCAATAATTAGAGCGTCTGCTTGCAGGTAGCTTGTAACATTGTCCGCTGTTACCCCAGATCCGACTAAAATGGGCAGTTTAGTTGCATGTTTCAGCTCCTGAAGCTCAGTTATTTTGGCTGGAACGCCTGTGGCCGTTCCAGTAAGAACTACACCGTCTGCCAGGAAATATTCCGCAGCTTTTGCTGTTTCTTCCAGCGTAATGTCGCTTGTAATTGCATGTGAACTAAAAACCCAAAATATGCGCCGTTTTTACTTAGCTGTCCAACTAGCTCACCTATGTTTTTTCTTTATATCAGCAAAAATAAGGACGTCTTCAGCATTAATCGCTCTTCGATATCTTAGTAAAGTGCCCGCGTTTGCATCTGTAAATCCTTCATCGCCAATGTGGCTGAATACGAAGCCTTCGGCCCTAATAAAGTTAAAATTACATGCCTTTGCTATTGCTAGCGCTTCCCTATTGCCGCAGGATAGGACCTAAAAAACGCGATTTAGATAATTTTTTTAAATTGTTCTAAATAATACCTGTAAGCCGCAGGGTACTGTTTTTGGAACAATCTTTCTAACTTCTGTACAAATCCGACTCATTGTGGCCGTTACTTCAGGCCCAAAATCTCTGGATTGTATGTAAGGCACATCATGCATATTTTCCACAAGAACAGCGTCCTGAAAGAATTTTTTTACGTTTGAAACAAAAATTTCGTGCCTTTACCAGGTTGTTTTCCAAATATATCTGGGTTTCTCTACAGGCTTCCGATACCATTTTATCTATGTCGTTATTAAAGCGAGGTGTACCTGAAAATGCCCTTGGTGATCCTGTTTTGAAAAAAATTACAACTGACCTGGAAGCGGTTTAACGTGAACCATACCGATGATGGAACATTTTTTGTTAAATAAATGTTTAAAGCGTTTCATAATACTAAGTACTTATTGTAAAATAGGCGATAATGAGCCCGAGTGTCTACTTGATACTATTTATAGTATGTGTAACGGAGATTTCTTATCCGTTTTCCAGATTTATCTTAATTCTTCCTTTAGAATTTGAGCGTTGCCTGCATATGAAAGTTATGACCATTAAGTGTTTAATTTTAATTTCGAAGCACATGTAGTTGCCCTAGTTTGCACACATGGACCTGTGAAAGTGTTAGAAACATTAACTGTTGTATATTTAATATTTAATAATAACAAGCTCCTAAGAAAACTACTGTACCACTTGATATTTCTACTTTGGATATGGATGGACTGAAGGGCGAGCAATACACCTTGAATATTTGACTATATAATTTTGTTTTTTTTTATCTTGCCTATTAATATTTTTTTGTAGGTTCAATGTTTTTTTTTCCAATGCATCAGTGAAATCTTGAATTTCCTATGCGAGTTTCTCAACAACCGTATGACTCTCAAGTGATGTCATAGCCAAATCCATCAACCTGATCTGAACTTCAACCTCCATCTGTCACAAATATTGTTTTGTTTTGTATACTTGCGAAAAGTAAATAAATTGCTAAATTACAAAAATTGTGATATGTAAATTAACATCAAATCTTAGTGAATAATGTCTTTGGCCAAACCTGACTGTGATAGCATCGAAATCGAGCAAGTGGCATTAGAAACTCCTGCTAAAAAGACACTTTCCTACAGTGATATTGCTTCGAAACTACTGGAGGACAAGTTTCTATTAACTGCCCTGGAACTGCACACGGAATTTGTCGAAGCTGGCAAAGAAATAAAGGTTTTAAGGGACTTTTTCTCCAATCCAGGGAACTTTGAGGCATCTTCCCAGGAAACCACAACTAGGCTATGTAGGTGCCAGCAGTTTAAGGGTTTAAGTACTAACTTTGGACTATTCATTAATTGTTACAGCTCGTTGTGGCAGTCAAGCAACTTTAGATAGTCTCGATCTAACTAGATACTCCGAAGATGGGGCTGTAGGCGATGAAAGAGTGGCTGTCTTGGAATTTGAACTGAGAAAAGCCAAAGAAACCATCAACGCTTTGAGGAATAACTTAACATTTGCTATAGGTAGCAGGCGTGCTTCACTGCCAACCCAAATGTGTTATTTACGTGCGTTTTTTTAGAATCTGAGTCCAGCACTCCAGATAAGGGTTCCCTGAGGAACATTCCCTCAACATCAATCAAACCTTATGAACAGAGGGCTCTAAATTTTCTCATCAACGAGTATTTGCTACTTCAAGGATATAAACTCACCTCGATAACGTTCGCTGATGAGAATCAGAACCAAGTAAGAGATTTGCTGTAATTTTGAACCATTTCTATGCAGTGTTTTGCAGGACTTTGATGACTGGGATGATGTAGGTCTGAATATTTGTAAACCCCCAGAACTGCTGTTTTTGTATAGAGAGGGCCTCAAGCAAAGTGGTCAAAGTGGGGTGGTCGCTTCCACTCAAACCGAGATTGGGGATGATGAGAAGGATGATCTTATTCGGAAACAGGTAAGGCCCATTTTCTCTAAAAAATGTAAAATTTCTGGCCAATTTAATGTAGAAACATTATGTTTTATTTGAATTAATAAAAATAGTAAATATTTACACATCGAACAAAAAGGTTAAAGTGCCTGTCTGTCATCCATGACAACAAACCAGAGAGGTTAAGTGCCTCAAATCGCTCACCAAAACAATCAAAATGAACCATTTTTCTGCCTTTTTTCGGTAATTTCCACAGCGCCATGTTTCGCAACATTTTAAGACGCAGGCCTGTTTGGCCAGTGCGCAAAGTATCAAAAGCCCGAGTCTCTATTTGGTCCCCACTGGCCGAAGCCTTTAACACTCGGCCAGTTCCAAAGTTTAACTTGCGGAGTAAAGATGTGGGGCTTTTTGGGGTCCCAGAGCTGACTACGCACGAAGGTTTCTACGATCTGAAACAGAACTGCGTTGCTAAGACGAATAGCCTGATCGAAGAAGCCCTAAGTGGCACCCGCAAAAGGAAAATGGTAGAGGTGTTTGATGAAATATCAGATTGTTTGTGCCAAGTGGCTGATCTGGCCGAGTTTATTCGACTTTCGCATCCCCAGTCGGAGTATAATTATGCGGCTCAAGTGGCCTGTGGAACAGTGAGTGGAATAGTTGAAACGCTGAACACTAATATTGAGTTGTACGAGGTTTTGCGAAACGCCACACGAAAAGGGGATTTTGTTGAAACTTCTGAAGTCGACAAGCATGTAGGGGAACTGTTTCTGTTTGACTTCGAGCAATGCGGGATACACTTTTGTGAGGACAAGCGAAATCAAGTGGTGGCCTTAAACGATGAGATCCTGCAGCTGGGTAAGAACGCTTCCTAATCAAACGATGGTTTTAATATAAAACGTGTCTTTAGGGCAAAGATTTGTTGCTGGAACATCAACACCGCGCTTCATCCGGAAGGACATGCTGCCCCCCAACATCAGGCACCTGTTTATGTCTGATGGGGAGAAGATATTCATCAACGGCCTTTATACCGACTCTAACAATCCCATGGCACGGGAAGTCGCCTACAAACTCTTCCTGCATCCAGACCCAAATCAGGAATATTTATTGTCCCATTTGCTAGACGCCAGAGACAAACTCGGGCAAATATGCGGATTCACATCCTACTCGGACAGGGCGCTACGCGGCTCAACAATCGACACCCCGGAAAATCTATCGCTCTTCCTAAACAGCCTGAAATCAGATCTTTGGGAGAAGGCTCAGAGCGACTTTCGATGCATGGACCAAATCAAGCAAAACGAATCGTTGGGACATGGGCCTTTGGCCTCTTGGGACGTGCCGTATTATACTCAAACTGCGAAAAAGGAATGGTTTAAAGTGTCTTCTAAGGAATACTCACCATATTTTTCACTTGGCGCCTGCATGGACGGTCTCAATATGCTCTTTCAATCACTCTACGGAATCCAACTGATTAACACAGAAGTAAGTCCAGGCGAATGCTGGTTCACTGATGTCTACAAATTGTCGGTAGTTGATGAAACAGAAGGATTATTGGGTAAGTTATCTATGGGGCTCAAATGATTGATTAAATGGGGAAAATGTTTTAGGCTACATTTACTGTGATTTATATGAAAGAACTGGAAAGCCAAACCAGGACTGCCACTTTACTATTAGGGGCGGAAAACAATTGCCGGATGGCTCCTATCAGTCCCCCATAGTAGTTCTTATGCTCAATTTACCTCCGCCTAGATGGTCCAGTCCCTCTCTGCTATCCCCGAATATGGTCGATAATTTATTCCACGAAATGGGCCATGCAATGCATTCAATGTTGGGCAGAACTCAGTACCAACATGTCACCGGTCAGTGAACTCACTCACTCACTCACTCACTCAACATCTAATCAACTGATAATTTCCCTAATTGCAGGCACCAGATGCAGTACGGATTTCGCGGAAGTTCCATCGATACTAATGGAATACTTCGCGTCTGATACAAGAGTTTTGAAGCACTTTGCCCGACATTTTCAAACGAAACAGCCGATGACCGATGCAATGCTTAACCGATTATGCGCCTCAAAGCATCTTTTCACCGCCAGCGAAACTCAGCTGCAGGTGTTTTACGCGGCACTTGATCAGGCCTATCATGGCAAACACCCAATTGGGGGCTCTACAACGGAAGTCTTAGCAGAAATCCAAAAGGAGTATTATGGACTCCCGTATGTCCCTTCCACTGCCTGGCAGTTGAGATTCAGCCACTTAATAGGATATGGAGCAAAGTATTATTCGTATTTAGTGTCGAGGGCTGTGGCCTATTTGATATGGAAAACATACTTTGAGAAAGATCCGCTAAGTAGGACTAGTGGCGAGAAGTATAGACGAGAGTGTCTGGCCTTTGGAGGCGGCAAGAACCCGAAACAGTTGGTGGGTGATTTTCTGAACATGGAACCTACCGCCAGCGCCTTCGCTAAGGCTCTAATCAACGAGATCGACCATCACCAGAGTCAAGTGGACGCGGTGATAAAGAATTAGAAGCCAAAGCTGTTAATTCTAATTGTTGTATTGATAAAAGAGTTGATAAAGCGAACAGTGTTTTTATTTAGCCAACTTCACCTTGATTTGGAAACTTATTTAGCAAGCAGCTTGAAGTTTTCTTGCGTTTTTAGGGCTGTGAAATCGAGGAATTAAAGTCGCAACTGGACTTTTTGGAAGCTGATTTAGCAGAGCTGCAATCGCTCAAAGAACAACTGCAAAAAGAGTATACTGTTATTAGCGATGACATTATTTCATCGGAATTAAAAACAGCAGTTAAAACCTCCGAGTGTAGCGACTCTCCCGAAAGGTGAGCAAAAAGTGAATAGTTTAAACAAACCTTTTGTAAAATTTGCTTGGTTTTAGGTTTGAAATAATCGACAAAAACATGTCGTTGTTTAAGAAAAAAGACATTGAAGACACCATCTCGAATAACAGTTTTAATACAAGCGATTGGGCGAAAATTAGTTTGCCAGATCAGGAATGCGGCAAGGAGAGCAATAGCCAAAAGATGTGCGAAAATGAGCGACTATTCAAGGATTTAAGGTACAGTTTCAAGGAAGGTTTTAGGATTGAAATTTACTTACCTTAAATGGCGTTCTAGCTTGGAAAGGTTTACAAAGGACGTGTTCTCCTTGTGCTACTTAGACATCGAACATAGCTTCGAGTGCGACGCATTAGACGAGCATGTAGACGTGGAGAGTTTTGTACACATTATTTCGCAAACATTGCCGAAAATAATTCCCAATATAATTCTAAATAAGCGCGAGGAAGTCATACCTTTGCTGATGACGGCCATTTCTCTTAATCCTAAAATCTCCGAACGGGATAAGCTATTGCAACAATTGTTCCATCTTAAGAAAAGGCCCACGAAGGAGGAACGATTAACGATTTTAGCTGGTAAGTTACGGATTCTTCTTTTTGCACAGCATTTTTAAACTTTCAGCTTTCAACACCCTTGATACTTCGAATCACTCTGTACATATTGTTTTTTAGCTGTTATTGGAATAGCGAAGTATTCGGGTGAACAGCTGGTAGAAAATGAGATTTTGCCTCAATGTTGGCTCCAACTCACGCATAAACACGTTGAAAGGCGGCTTCTCATCGCTGAAGCTTGTACCGTATTAATCCCGTATGTTTCTGTGAGTATTGAGGTAGACGAAACACTGTGTAGGGTGTTTTGAGTCCAAAAACTCCTTGTTCCGGAGTCTCCTCTTTATTAAAAATCATATTGTGCTTTCAGAGTACAATTCGTAACTCTCTCATCCTTTCAATGCTCCAGCAAATGCTTGAGGATAAAGAGGAGATAGTCAGAGACCAAATCATCAAAGCTTTCGCTTTGTTACTTTGCTATTGTAAAGAGCCAGACAAATATTCCCAATGTGAGCAGATAGCATTAAACACGTTAAACGATGTGAGCCACTCTGTGGTGCATTTGAGTTCCAATATTTTGTTCCCTGTTCTGGCACGATGGGCACAACATGAAGGTACTCGATTGGTAACGGTTCAACAGATTCGTTAGTCCAACACCTTTGCAGGTTGTTTAAATACCAGTTTGTTGAAGAAGCTCCTGCACCGCCTTAACTCTCATGTGAAAAATATAGAATCTCAAACGAAGGCCAGTCAGGACATTGACCAAATTCAGCGGGTGTTGTCGGTTCTGGACAATTTACTGCCCTTCTTGCTCACTTTAGTGATTTACAACGAGCATGTGATCAGCAATATTGAGAAAGATGTGGTGATACCTACGAGTAAGTGGAGTTTTAGGGAAATGTTCCATTGATTTAACTGCTCAATATCCTTACAGGATCTGATTTTAGTAGCACGTACACCAAGCTGACAAACCCGGAAAACTTCTTCAAATCGGAGCTCCATTTCGGAACAGTGTTGTACGAATTCGACAAATATATATCTGATAATCCGAACACTTCCTGGCCAGAGATGAACTGGGTGGTTGACGTAATGTATGAGTAACTGATGAGCAAACATCGAGCGTTTTCAAGCCGCCCTATTCCTTATAGGCTTCCAGATTTACTGAATAACTTACACCACATTGAACTAGCTCAGCAACCGGTTTTGGAAGGTTTCATCAATCTATTCGCGCACATTTGCATAGTGTTTGGACCGAACTTCATCAACTACAAAGTCCGCCCGGTTCTGCACAAAAACATCCAAAATCTGGAGCAAGTTATCAGCAGCTTCAACCAGTTCTGCCCCAGTTTGAACATTATTCCGATCTACGTGATCGTGCTGCATTTCACCGAAAATTTCGACGAAATCTCCAGTGTTCTGAAAAAGTTTTTGTATGTTTTGCCCTTGTGCGGCAGTCCGTTGGACTGTTTGGAACTCACGGTCAGGAAATTAACTGAAGTTGGCTTGCAAGTGAGTTTTTTGTGAAAGTTTGAGTAATTGCGATTAATTTTGCGGCCTTTTGAAGGAAATTGTGGTGGATTGTTTATGGTCGGGCGTAGTTCATCAAAGACCTCTAGTCAAATCTGCTTCGGCCAATTTATTCTGCTGCATCATTAGATCCTGCAGCGAAGACTTATTGAAATCCAAAGTGGCCGGGGCAATTGTGACTATGGCCAACGACAGCGACGTGTAAGGAGCGCTTATGTGAAACTGATTGTTTCTAAGTAATTCACTTGCAGATTGGTTCGCACTGCCACGATTCCGGCTTTAGGGCGTTTGATTACAAATTGCAGCGTAAAGGAGATTCACGACAAAGCCTATATGCAGCTGCAAACGCTGCTAAACGATCCAACCCTCACAGAAAACCACGCATTAACCAGGCAGTTGATCGTCACTTTGGGGAACATTTTTGTCGGCAGCTGCAGCACCTTTAGGAACGATGGTCAGTGCTAATGCTTACCCATCGAACCTGCCATTAGTTGCCTATTTCTGATTTTAGTCATATTGCCTCAGTTGACGAGTTTCGCAGTTTTTATGTCGCAAATGACCAATCAGACCAGGAAAATTGATATGGCTTTAGCACTGGTGGAAGCGTTTACGCATGTTGTCTACAGTCCCCTTAATAAGCCCAACATCAGTTCAGTTGTAAAACCCGGATTAAAGTAAGCCACTTAACTCAATTGCGGCTTTATAATAATTGCAATGTTTGAATGGTTTAGGTGCTTAGATTTGGTGATTTCTGAAAATCCCTCACTGTCGACTCACCACGAAACAGTATTATCAATGATGAAAGAATGCGATAATAAGGCCAGCCAAAGCGTTTCGGGCTCTCCGATCGAAAAGCCGCATAAACTGGGCCAAAACGTTAACCAAGGAGTGGAGGAAATGAGGCAGAGGATGAGTAAAATTTTCACCAAGCCTCACATGTCCAAGTCGAACACCCTGCATAATTTTCCAGGAATCTTTAAGAAAAAATAAATTGTGCTTGTTTCCAACAGATTAACGCGAAAGCATAGATTTTCATTAAAATAGAAATTGTAATCTTTGACGATCTAAAAATGCTGCTTGGAGATTTGCACAAATTCCGGCTCGATCTGACCATTTGATGACTCCCGGGAATGTTTTGCTGTGATATTTCCACTTTGCATTAAACATCACATTTTGAGGCAAAAGATGACTTACAAAGTACGAAAACAAAACTGATCAATCGCGTTTTAGGGATAACAGGCAATGGGTTATTTACATTTTCAACGAATCATTTAATCACAAAAGTAGCTTTGGAAGATTAATTATATTGCAAAGAATTCAACAAACAAGAAAAACCGGGTTTGCTCAATTTCAATTTGATACATTTATGGAATTTTCACAAAAGGTTTACCCAAAATTGCAGTTATGGTTTTTCGTCTTCAATATACCCAGTTGTCAAATCAATTTTAATTAATTAACTAATGCCCACATTAAGAAAATCACCCTGTTATATGTATACGCATAATCGGAATGTATAGTTTTTTATGAAAGAAGATTGTACATTGAGATTTACTTTTGTAGCCTACTTTTTACTAGTCAATGTGATAATCTCTTTTACTTTCAACTCTCTTTTGTTGAATTTTGAAAATCTTACCCTAGACAGCGTATTTCATAAATATATCAATAAACTTTTAGAGTCGTTAGGGGACATACAAACATGCTGTTTATGCTTTATGAACATACGCCCGAAAAAAAGCGTCTTTTATCGTTATTGAAAAAACGCGTTATACGCTTTTGATGATTTTTTCGATTGCTGCTAACCAAAGTAGGAATCTTTTGGACCAAATACAATTTAATTCCAGGAACGGGCACAAAAGGCAGCTGTGGTTTTTGTCTTAAAAAACGCCGGTAGTAGCATTTTAAGCATTATTTTTTTTGCCTCGGCCACAAAACTCAGATACAGTGGACACTCAAGTGAAAAAAGTGGTCTGCTGCTTTACCTAATTGAAGTTCTAAACTGGCGAAAACAACCCAATGTTATTTTTGGCAATTAAAAAAATTAACGGAATTAAAATTAAATTGAACATGCCTATAAACCAAAAGATGCTTGTTCAATGTCTCCTATCACCGCCTGAAAGCTTATCGGCATATCTATAATCTTGGATTTTTTACTAATTTTCTTTAGGTTGTGACATCTTATTTCAGAGTTGCATTTGTACTTAATTATACTCAGTTTTAATAAGGATAAAAATATATTATATTGTTATCAATAAACTCATATTTATGTAATTGTGTGTTTTTACGAAACCACTTTCGGCAACTTTCATAGTAAACAATGTTTACCAAATGAAGGCAACTAAAGTGTTTTATGATAATTTATAGAGAAAACCAGTAGCATTGATCTAAAAAATCGAAAGGTCATTAATTAACTGTATTTTTCACACATTTTCGCAAAATTACGTTGTAAAATTCGATCATCCAAAAGTATACTTTACGAATTGCATATCGTGACTTTTCTAAAAGGACCAAAAGTGGAAATTGAAACATAAATATAAAGTTGTTGAACAATTTAATGAGAAATTAAATCACAGAGAATCGACGCGGAATTATTTCTTTTTACATTTTACTTTACCCACTTATAGAACTTAGAACTGAATCTGTATTCGATCTAATTCACACCACAGAGCTGATCGTGTTGTTCGAGGCAATAAAACACAACCAATTAACTGTAAGTATACTTAAATATTCAATGTACATTGTATATGCATTTTTTAAGTATATCTTTAAAGACCTAAATACAAAGTTGGTGCTTTAGTTACGGAACCCACGAATGCGCGTCTACTAATTAATATTATTGTATGTAGTATATCTTGGGACAGCTGTCCCCTGGCTACACATAGGACACGTAACTGACCAAAAATAGGTCTGTTTCATTTGGAAGCATTTGATGGTGCTTAAGCTAGCCAACGTTAACAATGTACTTTAAAATATTGGGCAACTGGCAGTTATCAATAAAACGAATGCATAAAAAAATAAATAAAAAGAAAAACGTAATTCGATAGTTATTCTTCCTAACTCCGCAATTGAGTGGCAAATTAAACAAAAAATGTAAATCACAGTTAAGAGTGAAGCAGCGCCGACACAAAAATAGTGGTTTGCTTGTTAATAAACACTGACCTACTGACTCGGAATTTCCACCTTCCTGGCAAACTGTGTTACTGTGTAATGTTCTATTTCAGATAGTCTGTTTTTTAACACTACCGCAAATGTTAAGCTATTTTTGGCCAGTTTCTTCGCTTCAACGTAAAATAAATTTGTTACTAGTAATCTGAAAATACGAAACCTAGGCAGCCTATGAGGGACATTTATATTGTCTATTATAAAACACATACATCACAATTTTCTATTAAAAATCTATTTACATTAAATAAAGGCCCAATTGTTGTGGGTAAAAATAAAATGTAAATAAGGCGGTAATTGATGCATTTTTGAACAAAAAAAACATTTTCAATGCACTAGTCAGATCTAAAGAAGCAATTTGATGATCAGTCACCTGGAGAGAGATGGTGGTGGTTCTTCTTCAGCCATGGATGGGTTAAGCATTCGGCGGCAGTGGCTCGGGTGTCTGGGTTAAAATCAAGCATCGGTTTTAGGAATGCCGCGAATTCTTCAGCCTCCTTACGTTTCCAGTCATATTTGTCTCTGAGAACGTCCTCTAAAAACCAGGGTTTTAAACCGGTAATGTGGCGCAGCTCATTTCTCTTGTTGAAAAACAGTTTGGAATTGGTGCCACTTTGAGCGATTTTCTTGGGTATTGGGCCCAACAACTCAATAATGTGGGCCAGGTGGTCTTCGTCCCGACAATAGTCATCTCCAGAATGAGGCTCGAACAGATAGTCGCCAGTGGCTAATTCAAAAGCCATACAAGCAGTGCTCCAGATGTCTGCAGATGTGTTGTATCCCGATCCAAGTAGGACTTCCAACGATCGATATTGTCGGGTCTGGATGTCTTCGGTGAAATGCTTGTCCACCCAACACGCATTGCCTAGATCAGCAATTTTAACTTCAAAATCACATTCCACGAATGCTGGGTCCAAATCCATCTTGCTTTCACTCTTCGAAGTTAACGAGGGAGAATCATCCTCAGACATAATCACGACTGCATCCGCAATAGAGGGGTCTTCGCAGGAAATCATGTTTTCGCCGCCCCCAAGTTGCGTTATACCATTTGTTAGTTGTTCCGGGTCTTCGACAGTTCGCTCCGGACTCCCATTGTTGGTGCCATTACAATCTATTTCACCATTAACATCACCATGCTCTTTGACTTTTTTCTTTTCCTCTATTTCAATAATTTGCTCCATCTGTTTCTTTAGCAGTTCATTTTGCCTCTTGGCCTTCTTTTTCAGCTTCTTTTTCTTGTTTTTGCTCATTTTTTGCGGCTGCACTTCCTGCGGCGGCGCGGTACTTCTGAAAGAAGTGGGTAGTTTAACTCCTAACTGGTGCATTTCAGTGGCTTCATACGCAAGCCGACTGATGTAATCTTCAGATACTGATACTAGAACGTTTTCTGGTTTGATATCTGTGTGAATGATGCTGCATTTTGTATGCAGGTAGTCGAGCCCCTCCAGCACCTGCCTCATAATGGTTTTCACATTCTCGAGGGGTATTCCGTGGTAGTTGGATTTGATGATCAGCTTGAGTAAATGGTGGCCAAGCACTTCGAATACCATACAGACATGCACCCCATTGACTCCACTAATTTTGAAGTCGTTCAGGAGTTGAACGGTTTTGTTCCTTTTGGGATCCATCGGATCGGAGTCCCGCACTGCTTTCAGAATTTTGATTTCATCGAGTGCAGTTTCAGTGAAATGTTCGGCAGATTTGACGATTTTCAACGCCACAAATCGTTTATCGTCCAAATCCCAACAAAGCCAAACAGTGGAAAAATGACCCCAACCTAGTTTACGGGTGACATGGTATCTTCCTAGAAAGAGGTCGCCGATTTTAACAGGGTGGTAACCTCCCTTGCGGTAATCAGTGCTGTCCTCCTGCTCCTCCTCATCGCTCGTGTAAGGTGTGTCCGGATCCTCGATAGTCTCATTGCTTGAACTATGGGAGGGTTCGTTTTTCGAGTGGATTCGATTTTCACCATGACCGTTCTTTTCCATTTTGCCTTTCTTTTTTCCAGGCTTGTGTCGCTTCTTTTTCGCCTGAATGGCCAGGACGCGTCTGTTTACGTCTAATTTAGCGCTCATTTGTGTACTTTTGAACAATCACCACCGAAAAACTAGGAAAAACCGTCAAATATCCGTCATTCCGTCACAAAACACACTTTTGTTTGATTATGGCTGCCGATCTAGAGCTCCCTTTCAAAACCAATCACGCTAAAGATGGCGCTCGCTCACACCTGTCGTTCCAAAGCTTTTATGTTGCCAACTATGCCTCCCCAAAAGTTCCTAGAATTTTATTGTCACCGACGAAGAGAAAACCATTTTGTTTCTCACTTATTATTTAGAGAAAAACCGTAAAAAATACACGGGTATAGAGAAAATGCCGCAAACCCGTTAAAAGGAAATTGCCCTTTAAGAAAATTACAAAACTTTGGCTTAAAAATCGAAAATTTCTGCACGATTTGGAAATTTTAAGGGCGCCTACGCGTATCGCCCTCTATAGACGTTTTCACACAACTGCAGAACTCGACGGAAAGACCCGAGATGTCAGAGCAGGTTAAGTCCAGTCCCAGACAGTCAAAGTCAAAGTCAAGTCAGTCATTTTGGAGGGAATTTAACCGTCTGTTTGCGTTCCGTGTCCCTTTAAACTTGTTTACATTTAATAATTATATTGTTTTTAAGATGGCTCAGCCTTCGATCGCGTGTTATTTCAACAATCGAAAGCGTGCTGCGTTAGACGATGTAAATATTAAGCAGGCAAGAAAGGTTTTAGTACTAGATCGTAGCGATATTCCCACACCTTTAAAAGAAGGGTTAGAAACAGAACAAGGCATTATTTTTGCACAGGTTTCCAAGAACTTGGTGAAGATCGAAGATGAATCGACCAGTGATAAAGTTGATACACTGCAAGAGAACGAGGATAAAAAGCTGGAAAGTAAGATAATTTCGCTGCCAAATACGCACGTGCAGGATTCCCCGAAAAAAGTGATTAAGGCCATTCGCAGCAAGAAAATCAAGCAAATTGGAAACAACACCGGCATTCAAGAGCTGCTTACTAAAATGAAAGATTCAGAAACCAGCGAGCAAATTGAAGAAGAGATGGAAAAGACTCCTCCTAGTACCCCAACGAAAAGACCCAATGCCATGGACAAAGTAAGCGGCGATGGGCCCTCAATTAAGGAAATAAGAAGCAAGTTGAGTCGAAGCTCACGGCTGTCCAAGCTCAAGACTACATTGGCGAGATTCGAGGAACAGGACAAAAAATTGACTACAATCGAACAGACAACATCCCAGATTGAATCGCCCAAGTTGAAGAGCTTCAAGACCATTGAACTAGAAGTAGCCACTAGGTAAGTCACTTATTATCGACGAAAATAATTGGTCAATTAAACAAATACGTCTGTTTGCTTAGTGATAAAACTAACGATATCACGAAAATCAACCCCATTAACGCATTTGCAGATTTTCAGCTATTTATTTTGGGTAATTAAATTCCAATTATACGTCCACTCCCTGCTGATTCATAGATTATCACTTATCCAAATATGAAATGGCATTACTAAGGTCATGCTAAGTAGAAACTTGCTATTTGGCCCATTTCTGAACGCGGTTCCTTCAAAAAATTCCCGTTTTATTTTAACTTAAATTGTCTTTGCTACTAAATCTTTTAGAATACACCTTAAACCTACAGCAGACATTTAATTTTTTTAACCCACATGAGTAGTGCGCTGGAAACGGACGTGGTTTCATAGTTTTCAAAGAATTAACATTTAGATTAGATTACTTCAATATTAAACAGTCTTAAAGATTTTAAAATTCTCTATATTTTATTTGGCCAAACGTCGAACCGAAAAACTCTTTGTCTCAGCCCATTCAAAAATGCCACTTATTCCATGAATTTGAGCGTCAATATCAACACAAAAACTGTTTTGTTGTTCCAGCCCGAAGAAGGTATTTTCACCAGAAAAGGCCTATTTGAGCCCCAGAAAAGAAACTGATGGAGTGCGCAAAAACTTGCTGCATTTACTAAGCCCGACGAAAAATGCTCTACCGGCCTTAAGCGCCAGCCCATGCAAAGAGCTTTTCACTCAAACTGTCAAACCCGCTCTAACTTTGCCGTTTAAATACAGATTTTTGGCTGAAATATTCCGAGCTGTAGACACAGTAATGCAAATCATGTACAATCGGAACGAAACCATAACTTTCCAGAAATTGAAATCGGCCGTTGAGAAGATGCTAAAGAGGAACTTAACCGAGCAGCATTTGGCACAGATCAAAGCGATTTTTCCGCAATCGTTCAGTTTTAAACAGCAAAAGCTGAAGACATTTGGAGGTGGAGTTCGGGCGGAGCAATGGGAGCTGGTCGTAACGCCCATAGTGGAGAATAGCGAGAAAATGACTCCAGAGGTTTTGTTGGAGAGGAGAAGGATGCTGTTCAATACATTATTGGATAAAGTCAAGGATTATCATCACGAGTTTCTTTCCAATCTGGATACTCCGATCGAAATACCAAAGAACAAGATCACTCGTTGGCATCCACACTTTAATTTAGAAAAGGTAAGCATTGAGTGCGGCGATGGCCCAATTAATTTTCGTTAATCCACCTTGAACCTGCTTTTCTAAAATATTTATTGTTTTCGCAATTTTTTTATTTTGAAAAAATTGAAGATATCAAGTCAAGGTTTGCCTGTTGTTCATTTCTAGTTCAGCGAGTGAAATGAGTTTTCCAAATCAAATAACTTTAAAACGAACCTATGCCGGTTTTTTTTAAGTAAATGTTTTCTGTTTAAATGAAAACATGGATATAGAATGTATCTGTTGCAGGTGCCAGACATTGAGGAAGTCCAACTTCCCCAACCTCCAGAAGACGACAAAGTGAAAACTGCCAAAGACTTCTTGGAAAGGGCACGTGTTCTTTTCAGTTGCAACACTCGTATGGAGCAGGCTCTTTTAAAACTCCATCAAGCCAAAGAGAATCAGACTCACGCTGAGGCACAAGCTGCACAAGCGGTGGAGGAAACTGAGCGAAAAATGCCTGAATCAGCATTGAAAGGTACAAGGAATTATTTATAACAACTTCAAAATTTACAGTGGATTAACCCCCGATAGGTATTCCTAAAGCGGTCCTAGAAAGAGTGCGCCAAAAGCAAGCTGCAAAGGCTTTAGTTTCCATGACAAGATCAGTGCATAAAGAAAAGGAAGTTCAGATGTACTCCAGACTGCCTGTGCTAGCAAAATTGACCAGAAATATCTTTGTTTCGGAAAAGAAAAGCGTCTTACCATTGGACACGCTTGTGGATAAGCTCGGTATTAGTTACAGGGGCAATCTGAGTAGATGTGAGATGGAGGATCACTTGAGGATCCTGGCAAACGATCTGCCCAGTTGGTTGGTTTTCAATAACATTCGAAACTGTGTTTATTTGAGACTGGACAAGAACGCCGACCTGAGTTTAGTGATCGCTAAACTGGAAGCCCTTTGTCTTCAAAAGAGTAGCTCTTAATTATTTTGGCTTTCAAGGTTTAATTATTTTCAATTATCTTGTGATTTTTAAGGTCGATTATTTAGCCCGAATATTAGTTTTTTATTTGAACAAGCATAATTAAATGTGTTTTATTGTCCTCAAGCAAGGGTGGCTTGGGTAAATCGACTAACCAACCATAAGTTGTCGGTGGCGTTCAACACATCCTGTATTTATTTTCCGTAATAATGTTTTATTTCAACGCGCTATTTGCGTTGAAATAGAAAAAGTAGTGGTGAATGGGTTTTTTAATCAATGTCTTTTTGGAGTTATTTGAGGACTTAAGTCAAAAATAAATGGAAGTTATGCAATCAAGGTTGCAATTTGAACTGTACCAATAATGTTTATGTAATATATTTTCTTATTTTTCACGGCAAAGTGTAAAAATGTATAGAAATAGGATTTTTGACTGATTTGTTTCCAAAGGAAGTAGCTACCTACATACGTATTCGCTTATTTAATATATGTTGATATGGGCCTTATAGTTTAATGTTTGTTCATAATATGTTGCAGAAGGTTAAAGTACACGCTGGGAATTTGTTTTTTTTTTATTTCCTAATTGGTGGTGAGTGGCTACTGTCGTGCTTATTAAGAGCAAAGTTTGAAATTTAAACGACTTGGAAAAACGCACCGGCAGGTCAATTACTATTTAAAAACGCGAGTATTTTGCTTTCGACATTTTATCTACAAAGCCCGATTCTAAAACATTAATGGAATAGTCAATATTTTGGATTTCGCGGTTTTTTTTAAATTTTTGGTCAATATGCAGTTTGGTCCACTAAAGTTCCATGGCCACTTCATTTAAAATGTGGATATTCGGAGAAAAATTTACGCAAAGAAATTAAAGTGAAATAATCTAGGGAATCTGCAGGGTTTATAAATGCTTCGGCAACGCTGCTGAGCTGCGCAAATTTACCCCTATCCAGACTGCGTCTCTTTTCCAGACGCATTGTCACAATGGTTTTCCAAGGAGAACTTCCCTTAGATTAAATAGAGATATTATTTTGGGCCACTTTCACAGATCGGGTAAGTTTAATTATCTGCGTATATTAGTATAGGATGGAAGTCAGCTTTTGGCTAAGACTCTCAAGGTCTTTCAACAAGGAAGTTCCATTCAAAATGGGGGCTTGCCATTTTCTCGAAACATCAAAGGATCGTTGAAGCCGTCGGATTTCTTCGCTATGGATAATTTGGGACCAAAACTTGGAGTTTTAGTCGTAGGTTAGGAAAGCTCTGTTAGTTTGCCACTTAGGTCATCACTCGAGGTTACGTCCACTAAAATGGCTACTTTTGTAAATAGAACACTCTGTATACCACAAATTAGTCTAAAAGCCGAATAATTGCACATAATACGGTCAAACTCATAGAACTCAACTGACGGGCATTCAATCTAAATGTCAGTTTAAATAAAACTGACAATTTTGACTGCTCTGAACGATCTGCTGGTGTCAGTCTGGGACAGTTACTGAAATTTAAAAAACAGGTTCTTCGAGTTTATTCGAGGGAATAAATCGAAAATTAATTATTTATAAATAAGCCAATGTCATTTAAAAGGAGTTTTAGTACCTAAACTATCCAATGGCCAAATAGCTCGGGAGTAATGACTTCATATCCACTTACTAGCTAGATGAGAGGTAAAGTATAAAAGCATTCAGGTTCCGTTGGTTTGAAGCATTTGGGTTTGAACAAAGCGATTTCTAAATAAGCAATCTGTAAAAATCAAGTAAAAACTAATATGACGCATTTGTAATTGCTGATGTGATTTGGAGGGCAAAGCCTGCATTTTCAAGCCCGTTAAAAATATGCCGCCTCTATTTCGCTGGTTCTGCCTCATTACAGATATTTCTATTCAATTTATTTGGTATCGTAGATCTGAATCCAACAACTATGCGTTGACGAAGAAGTGAGCTGATAAGGTAAAGAATGCTGCTAGCTCGACGATTCCCAGGAATCCTGTACACGCACAGATGTACCTTTTATTGTGCAGGCATAATTTTTTCCACCTTCATCTACTTCCTGTTCAAATGGAATGTATTGTGCGTGAATCTTCAAGCGTGGCAACATGTCAGACGGATGGTAAGTTTTTTTTGCATTTTACTATTATTGATCGTGGCAAGCGTGCTCGGCACAATGCCGTGAGCAAAGTTCATTGGGATTAAATTATCCAAGAGCCCAATCAGGGGCGGCATCTGTATTTTAGCTGCTTGATTACTTGCGATGTTAACATCGCTTATATAAACATTACGCTCTGTATAAATCGAATGCAAGTGTTGCGCCGTGATACGAGAGGTGTTATTACGCATTGACGCATAGAGCAGCATCAACACAGTGTCACCCAGGCCTAACTCGTACTCATATCATTCCACACTCGAATTGAATATCTCGAACCATTTCATTTATTATTCTTGTGACTAATTTGGCCGTTTTGTTTTAGTGCAACCTCTACGAACAAGGCATAGCAGTAGGTTCGCTTTGCGCGCCACTTTGCCTGTCCAAAGACATTAACTCGCTCACCTGCCACTCGTTCCAAGCGGCAAAAGAGGCAGTCTTTAGTGCAGAATGGCATCACATAAAACTAGTGTTCAAATCAGTCGCAACGGACGTTCAGCCAATCCATTGGTACGATAATGGCGTGCTGAAATATCCCAGCGAAAAAGAGTTCCTATCGACAATACGTACAATAGTGAAACGGAAACTGAATCTGACCATAGCGTATACTACTGCTATGATGCTAGCGCGATTGAAGCCGTCCTATGTGGAGAAAGAGCCGATAAAGCGCCGGCAGGAAATGGAGAGCCTTTGGTACTTGTTGCAGGACAACGAGTATTTGCTCTCGACCATGTTTACGGATAAGGATGTTTTTCCCCAGCTGATTGGGACTTGCGGACCGTACTTTGCTGTCGAGTATCTGGAGCCTGTGCCGTTCACCTCGTCGCTGTTCTCCATGGGAGATACTCGGGAGAAATGGGGGCAGAGGCTGAAATTGGCCCTGCAAATCATGGAGTTGCTCAATGAGCTGGATATCAGCTTCAGAGTACCATTCCACTTATGCGACATCAAACTGGATCACTTTGCCTTCACGAGCAACATGAAAAAGCTGAAATTCATCGACCTGGACGAGGCTTTTCCCAGAACGGTTCTAAAGTCCTACTTTGAGAGGATCGGCAGTTGCAAAAGCGACGACGATTGCGAGTTTTTGGACTGCCGATCCACGTGTAACCGAACCGTGCAGAAATGCGACTCGGCCATAGGCAACAACAATTTGCAGATTGTGTGCGAAAAAATCTTTTTGGGCTGGCGACTGTCCAATACGATTCTGGTGCCTGGGTTGCTGATGTCGCAACACACTCCGTCCGAATTGGCCGCGATCTTAAGACAATGCGCCAACCCTGATGGGATAGCTGAAAAAGGGAGGAGAATACCTGATGATGATTTACGGAAACGACTGTTCAGCTTGCTATTTGAAATGGAGCAATCGGCTAATAACGACATTTTGCTTTGGTGATTGTTGTTAATTAATAAAAGCTGCTGTTGAATGTTGCAGATTTTTTCTTATATTCATAGTTTAGTTAATACTTGGTGTTGGAAATGCTCTATTATCCAGAGCTGGTGTTCTGGTGGAGTCCAACTCTTTCCCTCGTTGCCATTTTAAAGTTCTTTTGATCTACCCCGTCATTGCTCTTGTAAATTGAATCAATTCCTGAAGTAGAGATTTTTAAGTAGAGAATCTTAAGTTTTTTAAAAATTCCTCGAATTCTACATCGTTTTCAGCAGAAGGAAATGAGAAGGTGAACAAAAGGACACAAATATTTTTATTAAAAAAATGGTGTGCGTCACGAGACGCTCGACAGAAGTGATAACTTTATAAATTAATAGAAACCTTAAAATATTGAACTTGTTTAACGCATGATGGCAATAACTATTTTATTTTATAATCTTAATATTCTTGTTAGTCTAATAATCTATAAATGGACCAGGAATAGGTAAAATTTAATTTAATTTCCTTTTAAATGTAAAATATATTTCTTATTTGCAACATTTAACATTCTTTAACGAGATGTTGTAGATATTGCTCTTCTTGGGTTTGTGTAAACTCTTCTTCTTGAGTTTCTGTATTTTTTTGTCGTAATTTCTTATTTGCTTTTTATAATCTTTGACGTTCAGCACTATTTCGTGGTTGCTGAAAGCTACTTCTTTGACTTGATCTATTACTTAATGCTCCCTTTTTAGCACGAAATCGTGTTTGGCGTTCAGCATTACTTAATACTTTTCGCGTTGTAGCATGTTTTTGAGACTGCTCTTGTGTATGTTGTTCATGAACGTCTGCTACAACTTGTATCTGAATAGGACTAAAAAATCAATTAATTTTGGTGATTGGAAGACGTTC